TTCCATCATGTTCCTCAGATCCTCTATTTTTTAATCTGTGTCCTCTCTAGATTTATTAATCATGTCTTGCACCATGAGCAAAATCTTTGCAGTTATCTGCATAATTATTTCTGATTTCATTTTTCCCAGATCCTCTTTTGTTGCCAGTTCAGAGAGTCCAGGTGGTTGAGTATCAGAGTGATCCATCTCGTTTCCCTTTGCGGTTGCTGTAGGTGATCTGGAAGTCTGCTTTTGAGGCTTGTTTATGTGTCTTCTCATTTCTACGGTGTGGGGGTGTGCTTCTGGCACCCACTCAGTTCACCTTCTCTGCTCTAGGAGCCTGGGATGGAGGTGGGGAGCTTCCTTCCAGGTTCTGGGACCGGCTGAGCTTCACTGCCCTAGGAGCCTGGGATGGTGCTGGGGGAGCTTCCGGGTGCTGGGATCGTCTCACCTTCTCTGCCCTAGAAGCCAGGGATGGCAGCAGGGGAGCTTCCTTCTGGGTGCTGGGACTGGCTGAGCTTCTCCGCCCTAGGAGCCTGGCATGGAGGTGGGGAGCTTCCTTCCGGATTCTGGGACCAGCTGAGCTTCTCTGCCCTAGGATCCTGGGATGGAGGTCTAACAATAATTAGTTTGACAGACTCCAATAAAGTGGTATATTTCTCTCTCAACTGCAATCTACCTTGACTCTTATCATTTCTCAGCATTTATGTCACAAATTAAGTTAAAATATAATTAATACACACACCACAAAGCATGTGTTAATATGCTCCTTTTATATGGAAAGGATTCTATGCATACTAACTCTGGAAAAATCAATTCATGAAACAACAGATTTGCCTTATTCCCTTTTATTTCTATATCTAGCTTCTCTCCTAACCTCCCAAGACTCCACTTACCATGCTAAGTCTTGGGGTGGCTTCCTCTTTGCTCAGTCAACTGTTAGCACCATCTCCCTATTCTTGGACTGGGCCCTCTTCACTTCTTATCCTCCAAGAAGCCAATGTCACACAGAAGCTATGGATTGATGTGACTGCTTTCCCCATGGGACATCCCTATGGCTAAAGCTTTCCCTGACCACATTTTTAGACTAGTCTTTTGTTTCTTTTTCATCTATTCTTTTTTTTTTTTTTTTGGTACCGGGGATCGAACTCGGGACCTTGTGCTTGTGAGGCAGGTGCCGGAACCACTGAGCTAAATCCCCAGCCCTTTTTCATCTATTCTTATCTCCAGGAACTTCCTGGGCCCAGGCCATATGTGTGTATGGGAGGCGGGGGGAGGTGGTTCCCAAGGGCTTCCTGTCATTCCTTCACCCAGCCCCTATATACAGACAGCCAAACTCTTGTACCTACTATACTTTTTACCACAGTGCTACAAAGTATGAACATTTCTTTTTGTTTTAAAAATCAAAACTTTTGCTACAAATAATTCATGTACATATTAATTTGATAGGAGATTTTGGGAATTTGTTTCTCCTTATGTTATTCAGTATCTTATTAAACACACTGTTCTTAGCAATAACCCATGGTCAACAGAAACACTTGGTTGCTAAGTGTTCTAAATATTTATATTACTTATGAGGTTCATCCTCCTAAATACAGGAACTGAAAATCAGAGCTACCAGATTATATATTAAAAAGCAAAAGAATTTATTTACTTTTTAAAGATTATGTGCATCCAACTTTAGTGTTAAATTACAGATATACTATGTTTATACTATGAACTATTTTTTTAAATTTATGAAATATAATTAATTTTTAAAAGAAATAGTGCTCTGAATATTTTACAAGGTCATTTTCTTATCATTTGTTTCCCAGTATTTTCTTTCTCACTTGTATAAAGCATAAATACATCAGCATTTCAAATGTATTCAACTCTCTTTGTAAACCTAAAACTGATAATTTTAAGAAACAATTTCAGTATTATTTACTGTGGACAGACACCTTGTAGACAGTGACAAAGATAAGAAAACATTCAGAGAATATGTCACACTAGATTACTGCATTTGACCAAAGAAAGTGTCTATACTCGATGTTAGCCAAAAGGTGAGAAGCACTTGATAAGTGTCTTATTAAAGGAAGAAAGCTTTGAAGTATTTTAAAATATTACAGGTCCTTCAGCATTTAATCTAGGCCAGCAGAGCAGCCAAGAAAAACAGTGGTAAACTATTACCCACACAACTGAATCACTGCCAAAAGAGCATAGAGAATACCCTGGGGACTTTCTAAATTCTTCATTTTGTGATACAACAACAGAGCACTATAATCTTACAAGTTATTAATATTCATCATCTTACTTGAGCATTTCTTTATACTTGTCCAGTTCAGTCACTGTCTTCTGGAGTTTTAACACAAGTGCCTCTACTTGACATTGTAAACCTGAAATGACAATGTATTCATCTCATTAGTGCAGTTAATTGTCCAGATACTTTTATACCATAAACCATATTCTTTTAAAGCTGCCCCTGAGCTTCTGAAGTATAATGCAGCTGTTTATTCCACTTTGTATGACCAGATGTTACTCATCTATTGAGTGCCCAGCCCTCCTCATCCTGATACCCCATAGAATTAATGAGTCCTGATAGACCTGATTTGTTGGCCTCTTTCTGTCCCTTACAACCATGCTAATTTGCAAACAGCTAACAAGCTAGACTTTACTAATGTTTCCCAAGGTAATTTGAGTATTCAGCACTCATAGGAATTTCTGATCATGTGGCTCACTACTGCAGTGCTTGATTGCCTTATGGTCTAGAACCAAGAAGCACTGCTGAGTCCTCCTGGTAAAAATGAAATAGACAAATCATGTACCAGACTCATTGTCAGGACTTTGTTAACTCTGAGCAGCATCTAAAAGGCACCTTAATGACTTTCAAAGCCAGAGAATACTGTAGAAAATAGGCTTCCATAGTCTTGAAGTGAAACATTTAAGCGTTACTTGAAGAATATTATTCAAGAAACTGTCTAATGTGAGTAGATGCAGAAATGAAACTAAAGCGGAAAGAACAAATGGCTTGACTTGTCTAAGTCCTGCCATTAGCCTGTGTGTGAGAAGTGTGATTTGAACCCTAAGCCCTAATGACAGTTTTGATGGTATTCTTTTCAGGAATAACTGAAGGTGGAAAACAAATTTATACAGACATACTAACTGGTTCCTACAAAAAAGTAATTCAAAACACCAGATTCATAAAATTTCTATGTTCCATCTAGTGTTTTAATAATATATTTTTAATCATAAATTTTATATGCAGCCACACAAATACATAGAACTTCTATACAACCTTCAACCTGCTTTCTTTGTTTTCCTAAATGAAAAAAATCATTCTAGATACTTTTCATTAAGAATTTACCAGACTTTTGTACAAATCTTTGTTTATACAGTACTTTCTCATACATTATTTTTAATTATTTTTATTGAAAACAATTATATGCACTTATGTACAACAATATGGAATGACTAAATGAAGCTAATTAATGTGTGTTTTACCCCAATATTTATCACTTTCTGAGGTGCGAATACTTAAAATTTATTCTTAAATATTTTCAAGACACATTGTCATTAATTCTAGTCACCAATTATACAATAGAGCTCTTGAATTCGCACTAGCAATCTAAATGAAAATTTGCATTCTTTAGTCAACATCTCACACACATTAATTTTTTCCCTCTAATGGCCATATGAGCGCTAATAGCCCCATTTTCCAGATAAGACAAAAATGGGATCCCTATTGTGCTTGAAAGTCAGTGAATGAGGCTTTCTGCCAACCATGCTATAAGAAAGCCTCCTCTGCAATGCCCCTCTGCCATGCTGCCCTCCCTTGGTGCCAGCCAACTGTGAACTGAATCCTGTGGAAACTGGGCCAGAACAAAACTTTCCTCCTTAGAGTTGATCATCATGCCTAGAGTTCATAATATAAAAAAGCCTCTTACACCTCCAACTTCTTGTTTCATAAGTGAATCTGATGAACAGCTGGATTTTTTGCCTGAGAAGCTAATGGCAAAGCTGTTTCCATTTCAGAAGTAGGGCATCAGTTTTGCTCTCAAAAGAGATGGCAGGTGTTTGGTGACTGATGAAAAAAGGCCAGTTTCATCACAATTGAAAACCTGATGCCAGTACCATGCTGTTTTTATCACAGTAGCTAAAGAAACAGACCTGAGGACCAGTGGAACAGATTAGAAGATGCAGAAACAACTCCAGACACACTCAGCCACCTCATCTTTGACAAAGGAG